TATTATTATTATTATTATTATTCAAGTACGAAGTGGACTCATCTGCGTACATCAGCCCATGCAATGGGCATAAAACAGGATGCTTCGTATCTAAGGAATTTTTAATTGTAGTGGGATGGATTCCCCCATTGCCTAGATTGGTTTGGGTGGGACAGGCACCTTTGGTATTTCCTTTTCACTATCAATGCGCCTTGGTGGGAAGCAGGCCACTGCCCTACCAGGTAATCGCTTAATAAGCCGTTCTTTATTAAACTAGGACTCAACATTCTATATATATATATGTTTTGCAGCTATTACGACGCTCCGACTGAAGCGACCGCAGGCGGCGATCAGTCAACGTTGAAGAATATGGAGTGACGTCACCGGAGGGCAATGACGAGTACTAGCCCGGGTACGGACACCACTAAGGACCGGTTGTCACCACCCAAACATCATCGGTGAAATTTCATTGGCTCCTAAGATACAGCAGCATGGAGGTCTATTTTCACACTCAACAGGTTGAAATGACAAATTTAAAAAAAAATGAGAAACCGATCGCAATACCCGGCATTTTCCCTCTCTATGGGAAAGGCGGATAGAGGAAAGAGAGAACTCGAATCCGTATAACGTCTACACAATGTATGGAGTCAGCGACGTCACATATCAAACGATGACAAACCACCCGCTGTGATTGCCTTCCGGCTTCCAGGAGAGCAAATGTTGCCCTTCCTCCTTCTTTCTTCCCCCCCTCTCCTAAAGGAAGTCATTCGCCTTATGATTCATGAAGGCACCTTTCCCGTTGATCATTCATCGGTGAAAGCACTTCCGTGAGCCCAAAATCCAACCGGTCCAAATCTCCCTCGTTCCACGCTCTCACTTATCGGCCCCACGAGTCTTATCTCGTTCCTTTGCGGGCACATCGAGGCGAAATCGAAGCCGACCCCACGAATCGAATCCAGCGAGCGAGTCATTCCAGCGCGTCTCGGCCGCGCACCGCGACGTCACGCGACGCCACCAGCATTGCAAGGAAACCAGCCCCAAGCGACCCGCGATGGAGACGAGAACGGTCCAGGCGAAACGATAATCCCCTAAATCCGATAACGGAAATGAGAGAAGGGCCACAACGATATCACAAGGCCTTTCCCCGAATCTAATCCCATTTCCTTTTGAGAGGATCCCATTGGATTAGTTCGCCGTGGAAATTGACAGCGGAAATTTGATGCTCGATCGACTCGTATCGAATGATGCCCTACGTGACAGCTACATCGAGATATTTTGCGAACATCTCGATGTTGCTGCGAGATGTTTTGCGAAAGCGTTTTTTCATGCCAACTGCCAACTTTTGGATTCTCTCGAGTGCTTCATATTCAAATGACTTCCCAGTCGAGTCAAAGAAACCGTTTTGCTCGCAAAGATATACTCATGTATGATCGACATTAGTATGAGGGCGCACGACTTAGAAAGGCCTCCCGGCAATTTTCTCCCTCATTCACATGGACACGTCTGACAGAAAGCCCACAAAGCACTTCATTAGATCTGTAGAATCTGATGCATCATGCCGAATTGCAAGCCATAGTAACGGTACCTTGCAGAAAACTGATACCTCTGTTACACAGGTCATTCTCCCCATCGCCAGTTCTATTCAGAGGCGTTTCATGGTTTTTAATTGTCTAATTTTTGGGAACCAGCCAGTAGGCCTGCTTGAATGGGTCTCCCCTGAGAGTATTTTTCCCCTTGAGTCCAACATTTCTTCACTCGACTCAGACATCCAATAAAAGGGAGTGTCATAGACGGGTGTCAGAGTATCAGAAAACAGCGCGAAAAGTGTCGGACTTATTTGAAAATAACTTTAGGAGGATAATGCTTTTTAAAAATATCTGTTGTGCAAAAGATCAGTCAATAGATTCACAGTATCCTTCAACTTCTTGCATATGCTACTGTCGCACATGAACTCATTTTCGAAAAATGAAACAATCAGCAGTTTAAAGGGATCCAACAGCCAAGTCCACCAAGAGCCTTCCAATGACTAAGAGACCAAAACAAGGGCGACACCTTCTCTTCTCATGACCTAGCACTGTGGCCACGAAAGAAACCCAACTGATGAAACCAATATAATTTTTTAACCCCACAGAGGGACGATCTCAATCGTCACATTATCGGAAAAGAACCACTCATTATCTGTACTTCTGTTTGATGAAACGCATTTCAAAACTCAAAAACAAACTACTAGTGCATCCATGTAGAAAACTCAATACCAATGAAGTCACTATTAGTTCAGACTGAGAAATTTAGATTAAGCACCTTTCCACAGGAGATGGCAGATATTACAAATAATTTGTAATTGGCCCATGATGCTTGATCTGTGAAGTAATGTACATAAAACTCTACCATTTATCTATTCTCAACACTTTCAGTCCTAAATCCATCACATGATGGGAATAAATCATAACTTGATCAAATCCCTGGGACTGAACATATTAAGAACTTTTGCATATTTAAGAAACCAAATAATTTTGCATCTCATGTACTGGTATCACTGATAAGCCTGTCTCAATAGTATCTCATTCATCTCTCTTTGTCAACATTTGTTTGCCTTTTTTCTCCTGAGGAATCAAAATCCTGTATCAGCAATAACCCCACACTTGGGAGTAACACAAGATTCTGTTCCAGATAAATGGATTGAAAACTTACCTTAGAAGCCTGAAGAGCACCATGAGCTTCCCTGAGATCCCTTAGTAGAGTCTCCTTCTCTCCCTTCATGGTCTCCAACTTCTTTTCGTACTGCACACTGCAATAAAGATGCATTATTGATCAAGTGACCATGGTTTCATCTGAATTCTATCCCCATAAAGTAAATATGACCCCCATCATGCATTCACTCCCAGAAAAACTAGGAATTGACACACATACTGAGTCAGGACTAGAGAGGAGATCCACATGCAATTGCATGAGTTCTTTTCTTCTCTCACTTTCATGTTCCTATGGTATATCCTAACTTATTGAGAAGGATCAAATGGTATCATGGTCTGTGGCATGTCTTGAGACTCTAGCATGAAAAAACAAAGAATACTAAAATTTTCAATTTCTGGAAAATTGTGCAACCTTTCATTTCTCTTTTTGAAATGCAGAGAAAAAAAACTCAAGAGAAAGGGCATGAAAATGTGCAGTACTTGTGAAATCATTGGTATGGAACACATGCAGCTATCCAGCAACATTGTCTTCATCTCATGAGATACAGAGTGTTCAAAAAGAAACACAACCCGTTGGAGAAAGCATGTAAATTAGTAAATGAGTAAATAACTTCGATTCCTAATGTAACTTTCAACAATGAATATTCTTTCTTGAACTGTGAACACCATTCTCATACTTAATGATCACTGAAACAGAAAGAAAAGCATTAGATTACAATGATAAAGGCATTATCCAATGGGTTGCGTTTCTTTTTGAACACTGTACATTCTGGCTGTTTGACAATAGAATGACTCATTTCTGTAGTGGTTTTTAAGAACTGATTTTCTGAGAAGACAGCAAAATACTCAATAAGACATAGCAGTCCATTTAGAGTTAATGCTGGTATGCCTCAATACCTCCACCAATGGCAAAATTGCAACTACATCCATTGATAAATTCTAAGAGAGATTTCATTGAGAAATTCCTGTTTTTGGACTGCTATTTTGCCTTTAGTTTCTTTTAAGCACTATATTTTGTCAATTTGTAAGCATGAAACCCTATTACAAAGCAATGACATAACTATACATACAGACTGAGAAAGAGAAAGAAATGGGATACATGCATACCAGTCACTCGGTCAACCCACCTGAGCTGTTGCCGAACTGAGGCCACTTGTGAAATGCACTTCTTTTCCAGTTCATCCCTAAGGGAATTCATTGCCTGTTGATGTCTATCTCGTGGTACCAATTCACCATCCTCAGCTAACAACTTCTTTTGGGCTTTGTGTGCAAGGCTCATCAATTCTTGTATCTGCAATGTAAAAAAAAGAAAGACTTGCAACATGCCACAATATAGCAATGGGAATACTACATTTTAGCAAAGCATGTAATACCTGGTGGTCCTTCTCAGTTTTCACAATGGTAATTTCCTCCTCTTTGAGGTGAATTGCTGCCTTCAGGGAAGAGTGAGAACTCTGCAATTCCTCAACATGCTTGGTGAGCTCTTGCATCTTTGCTTCTTGAACGTGAACCTTCAACTTCCATTCCTCAGCCTACAACAGGCACCATGTCACACATCTCCAATTTTATTGTTCTCAATATCACAAGAGAATAAGGTCTGACATACACACTTCTTAAAAATATAAGTTATTGTGTGTCCTGCCATTTTAAAAGGGGTTGAAGAGAGAAAGAAAACAAACACATTACCTCTGACCGACTCCGTCCAAGGAGAGTCTTGAGGTGGGATACCTCTGCTGATATGGAGTCAACCTGTTCTGACACATCCCTCTCTTCTTCCTCCTGAGCTGACAGGGAAGCATTCAGCTGTTCACTGAGTTCCCTTATGGCACTGTCTCGTTCAGCAAGGGCTTTTTCATAATCTGCAATCTAGATCATAGAAAGACCAAAATATTGCATTAAGATGATAAACACTTCTTGACAGGGTGATTCAGAATATGCAGAAACCATACAAATGGTCTTAAGAGAGCTACCACATTATGCTAATGGCACAATGGAATCTCATCTTGGCAGTCTAATACTACTAAATTGCATAAGATGGAAAAAGAGAAAAGGGCTAACATAAAAAATAAACTGATGCAAAAAACTACAGCCATCCCACCATAGTCTATGCACTTAGCTAGTGTGCAGATGTTTAATTCCAGGGTACAAATTATTTTGTCACCCTGCATTTTGAAACCTAAAATTGGGCTACTCTCTTTGATGACCTCTCTCCAAGCCTATCTTTTACAAATTATTGGAGATGGCTTTCTACCCTAAATCTAGAAGTTATGCTGAAAACACAGGCTATAGTACCCTCCCACTCTAACATAACCTATACGAAACTCATGTTTTACGTGTACTTTTCATGTCACAGCATCAAGCCAATATATCTCAATATCATCATAAAATGTATGTCTGAGACGAAGAGCAAATGAAAACTGATTGTTAATCAATACATCTGTCCATAGGCCTACACATGAATATATCTGCATTAAAATTATCTCCAAGATGTGATGATGCTTTCACCTTGGCACTTTTGTCCCAGCAAACTTGGCCTCATCCAAGTTTATAGTCAGGATACCATCACCCAATGTCAAGGTGGGCAACCAATACAAATAAAGGCACTGATTCTGATGGGAGAGGAAGGCACATACCCTTTTGTGCATTTGTATCATATTAATATTATTGTAACATCTAATTCATTTATGATAAAATCCTGACTGTTATGTGACAAGCCTATGTAGCCTAGTAATAATGTTACTTCATTGTTCTGGCTACAATCCCAGATATTTTGGTTTCAATTGGTCATTTGCCAGCCCCACCTCATTCACTCCTGACCAAGAAAACCTTAATTTATGACGACTTTAGATTTAGACACTTGAAGACGATGATGACTTCCTCTCATTCTTATGCTTGGCCTACTGGGAAGAGATCAGAAGGTCTGTTTTGATTATCCTTTTGATATAGCCAGTGGCCAAATGGCAAATGAGATGAATTCCAGCTGTTTTTTTTTTTCATATAAATGCAAAGAACCTACTGCCTCTACCAATGACTTCCTTCTATAGTCACATACCTTGCCATAGAAAGGAGATTATTACAAAGATGGAGCTCATAATCTTGTAATTTCTGTGTTCATTAGTATATGTATTTAATTTGCCTTGAAAATTGGGATAATTTTACCAATTCAATTAGAAAATGGTATGTCCATTAAGTGGATGCTCACATATTTCATTTCATGTAAACCTGTCTAAATGGCAACCAAGAAAATTGACTAGAAAGATGCCACTTCAATATCACTCAAACTAACTCCTATGATCTCTGAAGTACACACAAAACTTTAATAGATATAATATAGCTGTTTGCATAAAATATAATGTTGGCATCACCTCATCCCTGCAGGATCAAACCTGTGAAGGCATGGGTAGTAGCTGCACTCACAAGGCAGAAACAGTTTTAAAGTCCATTCAAAACAAAACTTTACCTTCCTAGCTATTAGGCTGAGACCTTTCAGAGGCCTACCTCTGAAAGGTCTCAGCCTAATAACTATTGGGAGGCTAGGCTCCTAACAGTTAGGCCTTTTACCTACCTTTACACGGCATTCTTGAAGCTGTTGTTTATATCTCTGCGATGAGACTTGTCCACATCCAGAATCACCATGACTTGAAGCCTCTGATCTGCTCTTCACACTATCATTTTCATCTTCCCCGTCGACATCCATGGCGCTTTGGACTTGCCGCTGCTGGGCCTAAGTCAAAAGTATCCAGCTTCGTCCAAATGAAAGCAGAACTAAATGACCTACACTTGGCCTTAGGCTACGATTGGCATTAGCTTGCTAGAGAATTACGCAGCACAACCCCTTTTCGAACCTAATACGACGTTAACATTACTAAGCAATCGCTAAAAATTTAATTTGGTGGGTGTGAAACTTACAAATGAATTTCAATGACTTCAATGAAGTCGATTTCCCTGAATTTCTTCCTCCTGGAAGATAGGTCTACCCGTACAAAGACATCAGCTCACGTGGACGCCATGGCTTTGGCTTCCTTCTGGCGCCTTTCTTCAGACACGGGCGACACCTCGCGAATCCCAAACGAAATACCGTTTCCCTATTCGGAAGAACGAGATGGCGTACAATGTCAGTTCGGCGCCAAGCGAGTAGGCGTCCTGTCGTACCAACTTGACCGGTTTCTTTTAGAGATCGAGATAGTAAGGAAAACAGCATCAGTGCCTCTTTGAGTGAGTCCTGACTTAGAGCAAGGGCATCGCATCCCGCACGGTTCCCCGTTCGGCTGGAAATCCTCAAACGCTGCTCGTCGGAACGGGAAAAGTGGGCTCGAGTCGACGTTGGCCTAAGGTAGGTGGGTGTACCCCTCTAAGACCTTAAAGATTTCGATACCGGCGCGGCGAATTGTTGGCTCGCCTGGAGAAAGAGTTGGTCACTATTTGGAAAAGACCTGTCGCAATCCCGAATCTTTCAGATTATTTGCTTCGCCTGGATTTGTTCAAGGAGGAGCGATGCGAAACAATGTGTCACTCCCACGCAATCCCGTCGAGATTGCCAGAATTTTCTTGACAGGTGTAGGCCCTTTTTCTTTCCATGGATTTCGGGGCCACAACCGCTCAGAGAGCGAGAAGTAGACCATAAAAGTCCTTTTTTTTCTGACCTAAATTTCAATGTGACAAGGGACAGTCACAACATGGGCGGTGAACGTCAATCACGAAGACGTAAACCTCACGAATAACTCCAAGGCCTGCAATAAATAAAAAATAAGATGGAAAAAAATGTGTCGGTATGATTCATCCAAAAAATAAACGAGAATTTCGATCGCGGGAAAACAAGTCGTAAAAGCGTGACGTAACGATTGACACAATATTTAAATCGGTGCACGAAAGGAGTGCTCGCCGTTCGGAGCCGGAAAAAACCGTTTGAGGAAAAACGGTTCAGTCGTTCAACCGGCTGATATTTATAGAGAAAACCGAGGAACGACCTTCACGGTTCGGTTATCCGGAGGAGAAGTTGGTCATCCGGCGGCCTTGGCCCAAGAGAGGCCCAGGGCCGGATTGCACAAAAATGCTCGCTTTCGTGTGGGTTTCGTTGTTTATTTTTATTTTTTATTTATTTTTTTTTTTTTTTGGTGCGAGTGGGTTCGCGTTGTTGCAGGTAACGATGTCCTGCAGTTCTACTAAGCCGACTGGTTCTAAAAAAAAAAAAAAAAAGGGGGGGGGGGGGGCCCGGGACGTGAGAACGCCGCGCNGCGATCGCTATCAAAATGATCGATGCGATGCATCAATTTTAGCGGCAGCATTTGCTTGCATCTCGTAGCCAATCATTCTTTATTTTTTTGGGTACCGTCCATTTCACCGAAGCCAAATATAATGAAATCATTATTGATCGAACGAAAATGTTCCCTGAAGATGTTTCGTCAAAAACTAAAAGGTGAAGAACAGCGAAATATTCCAGAATTGGTGGGGGGGGGGGGGGGACGAACCTGAAGAAATTCTTTGCATGACGTTGTTTCGCATTCAGGTCACTTTATTTTCATCCCATCATATTTCTCCATTTCGTCATTTTTCATGTATTCCTTGTTTTTCATTTGAAATCACAACACCGGTTCATTGAGAGGGATTTACTGCGAAACGGGACCAAGGAAGGCCCAGCCGGCTCAAATATTCCACATTCGACGAACTGATCCTATTCCAAGATTCCAAGTCTGTGGGAACTGTTGGGAAGATTATATTCTCATAGATGCCCTTTTTTTTTCAATCCGAAACGGACGTGATTGATGTCACAAAACATTCAGTGGGGATCGTCCACCGTTCTCCACCTTTTTGCCCGACAAAAACCAGTTGTGGCCTGCAAAAGCTCCTTTTTTAAAGATTTATTTTCAACTTCATGAAAATCATGAGGTCGAAAATAAACTCTAAAAACCTTTTTCGATCTGATCCTCTTAAGGTTGATGTATGTTTCGCGTTACCTTTTATTAGCCGTGTATTGTGGCTTGCCCTGTTGTCAGGGGAATCTCATCCATAAAGCGTCGCCCGAAGTGATCTGGTTGGAAAAACAGCTCGTAAAACCTACGTGGACTGTGGGACTTTACTTTCTTTAATTCGATTGCCAGCGATTTCAATGGTATTTTATTGGCTCCTCTCGGTGGGGATGAGTGTCAGGGTCAGGAGAAAGTGAGAAACGAGAATGAGACTGTTGTTATGCGATGGGAAAAAAAAATGCGGGAGAAAGTGCATCGACTGCGAAGGTATCTCCGGGAACTTTCTTGAGAAACTGTCAAAAAGAAAAAGAAAAAAAAAGTCCTGAGTCAGCTCAAGGTCGTGAAAGGTGGAAAGGCCGTTGTTCATCCGGCGACCGGGGACGCCGCGCGGTCGCCGCGTCACGTCGGAGGGTGTGGGATATGGGACGCGAGGATTATTGATGGGAGATGCATCGGCGTGACTTGGCACACCTCGGGATGCAGAAAAGGCGCAAACAACAAACAACATTCCTCTCACTCTCTCTCTCTCTCTCGAGGGGGGAAGAAGAAAAAAAATCACTAAAAAAAAAAATCACTCAAGATTCTTTGCCCGAGAGGCGGAAAATTCGGATTCATGTAAATTGAAACTGCAGACGGTGAGCGAGGTGAAAGGACCCACGACCTCAAGAAAAACATGGGAATACCTTTTTTAATGTTCTGTAATAACCGATGAAGATCGTGATCGAGAGAGTGCCGAGTAATCAAATGGGCAGGAAAAAAACGCTCATCTCCCATCGGTAAGGGCCCGATTTGATGGGCCGAGATTGCACTGCACGCGCGGGTCTCTTCAAGCCTTTTTTTCCGGGTAATGATGACTCGGATAGATAATTAGTTCCCGATTAACAGGGTAACGGGATGCGAGGGTAACGAGACTGCACCCGAGACACATGACGTCCTCGAGCGTTTTTTTCCCTGGGTTGTAAATATTCCGAGGTTGGACAAAAGCAGAGGAAAAGGGCGTATCGATGTGAAAGAAAATATTTCTCGGTTGTCGACCTGACCTGCAGGGTTCACCAATTGCAAGTTTTCAGGGTTCTCGGCTGAAGTCAAGAACTTCTGGAGTATATGGGAGGGAGGGGGGGGGGGGGGAGATGCGAGAAGGGCACAAAGAAAAATAAAACTACAAAGAAAGGCACTCAAAGTCTGATGCCGTTCTAAAGTATCCACCAAGGGAATTTCTATTGCCAAGCTTAATTTTACCAGACCTGTAAGGAAGGAAAGAAAGCATGCGAAATAATTTTTTTTAGGTGCGTAGATCTGGGAGCCTCTTTTTGCGAAGTCTCGATAACGATGTGCTTCGGACTGATTTGGAACGAGCCTGAATAAATTCCGCAGGACAACGATCACGTATGTATATGTTTCGCAGAAATTCCCAAGGGAGGCTTTTTTTTTTGTTAACTCATAAAATGCATTTTCCGTGTTTCTTCGCGATTTTCTTCCTCCGTGATCCATAGAAGCCGCAAGATGAATCACAACTTTTATGTGTCGCTCTAGGCTTTGTGGCCTTACTTTAAATTCCTGTGGAATGCACTTTGCGAAGAGTATGTAGAAAATAGGGCTTCCTATATTGTTTCTGGGGTCAGCTGCCTGCCATCAAATTTCTTTAAAACAGGGAAAAGTGAGCGAGAGAACAAAGAACGAAAACAAAATGTAGGGGGGGGGAAGGGAGAAAAATTTGGCTGGAACACAGACTCGGATCTTCAATCTGGGCTCTCTTCACTAACCTTTCACCATTGTCCTTTCTCCATGCCCCTTCTCCACTGTCCTTTCTCCCTGCCCTTTCTTATTTGCCCTTTCTTGGCTCTCAATATCATCCCCACCCGAACAATTCCTTGGAGTGAAATCCTTTCTCTCGATCACCATACAAATCCTGTCGGCTAATCGACGTCGCCCCCGGATCAGTACCGCTCGGCCGAGGTCGAGGGAAACAACGGTAGCCGGACGGAAGAGGAAGAGCATAAAGGAAGACGAAGAAAGAGCATGTAGGAAGGGCATGAAGGAAGAGGGCCATGCTCTTCCCAGGCAGGGTGTCTCTCAACTCCTCTGCTCCCTATATTACGGGGAATGAAGGTCACCATTACCGCCGTGACCTTTCCAGCACCTTGGGAAAGAAATAATGAGCTTCCATCCTGATGGGGTCGTTTCCACTGGATAATTTGTCTCTCTTTCTCCCCCTGGAATTAAATTACCCTCTCGACTAATTGATCGGGGTGTGGGAGGGAATCGGAGAGATCCGCATCTCCGTGCTTTCTGGCTTTTTTGAAAGCCCCCCAAAAGATGAATGGATTTCCCTCACGTCATGGAATGTAAGTAATAATTTCCCCCATCATCCAATTTTTTCCCCCACCGTATCAACTACGCTCAAGAGACTCGACTAATATTAATCTCTGCTCTCCCCTCCTCAACCGAAGTATGCGGAAAGTTGTCATCGCGATGTCACTCAAGAGGAAAATGGTAAAAAAAAAAAGACACGAGTCCTCGAAGTCTTTCGCCTGTGTAGTTCTGCTGAGTCACAGTAGGGAACTCGAAAAGGGGAACTCTTGAAAAAAAAAAATGCTTCGCACTCATCTTCCCTCTTGCCTTTTTCCCTTTTCCGTGATAATGCCCGGGACGGTGGTCACTCCTAGCAGTCGAAGACGACGGAAACGTGCGTAATGTGACCGCCTCTGGGCACAGTTCCCCTCACCGAGAGTGAAACTCCTCCATTGAATGAGGTTCTTAATTTCGCGATTCGTGTTCTCGTTCGCGCCTGAGCGCTCTTGTCCTGTTCTTGCTTCGTCCGTAACGCCATCGACCGATACTATGAAAATTTGTATATTTGGACTCCTGGATGCGAGAGCTGGGTGGCATGCGCGAAATCCAGAACTCCATCAAAATTGGTGGGGCCGGCTGAGGCGGTGCGGGTAAATGCTCGACCTTGTTCCTCCGTGCATCAGTTTCGTGGTCATGTCCGCCGAGGCACAGTGACTCCCGTCTTGTGCTATCTACACCACGAGAAGCGATCTATCACTTATCGTCAGGCCTGTCGTCGAGCATAAAGAGAAGCGTCTCTTTGGCTCGCCGCCTGTGGATGTGTAGCGTTGCTGTGAATCTTCCGTTCCTTGAAAATCAGGCTCCGTCCTGTGAGTTTTTTTTTTCTTCTTCCGAGTTTTCCGGTTCAAACGAGTTTCGGAGTAGAAAGGATTAGTGGTCAAACTGGGCAGTGATTGGGCTTTCGTTGGCTTTCTTAGTGCCACGTGTGCGATTATTCCCTGGTTTGTGTTTTATGGTGACGTTGTCTCATTTGTCATCAATGTTAATTCTGTTCATTATGCACTTGTGGTTATCATGCACTTCCATTGCACAACAGTTGGTTTCGCATGGGGGGGATGGAAAAACGGTAAAATCGAAGGAGCCCGTTGAGTTTTCCGTAGTCTCAGGATTTTTTAAACGTAGGAAGTGTGGTCAGAATAATCTCATTCAAGGGAAACCTGAATCTACCGTGAGATCTTACAGGGAGTTGACATTGAGAAGTGCGTAATTCTGTAACCGCTGGAGCAAGAGAGTGTACCTGTATACCGCAGACTGTTGATGGTCATCGTTTATGTTTTCAAGAGGCTGAGCCTTATAATCATCACGCGGCCGGCAAGGTTTTAGCAGTTCCTACTAAAGAGGACGATGGAGAGTTATAAAACTTAATGTGCAATAAGGTAACTTAATATGCAGCACAGTTGCAGCTAACAGCGTCGAGCCGTTTGTTGTGGCCAAATGCGAACCTTTCGAAGCAGAGCATCAATGAAGGGTTGCTGGAGCCCTTCTCTCAATTGCTGACAAGGGAGCATCGATACGAAATGGGATACAAGATATTAAGGAACATGTGAAGAGGGTATCTGTATTGCCTCTACTTTCGGAATCACTTCGGTATTAAATGTACTGAAACTGTAGAAATTAATTTACTTTCATTATTATCTCGGCAACGACCATGATAAAAAGAAATCCAGCATCTAGTGCATGCATTCTTAATTATTATTAATATTATCAAAACCAGTCCCTTGTCTCCGTCTCCAGACGAGTTTGTATTAACATCGCAATCTTTATGATCACATAAGAGCATACACGTTAGCGATTGCATTCGCACGGTTGAACAAACCTTGTACCCATTATTGGCTCTGCAGATCGCCAAGTGTCTGCTTCCCGTGTTTCATTATCGCAGAAAGCTTTCAAGGTTTTATTTGAGGAACTGGACTCAAAGCTATTAGATGCGCCTGGGCTGTAAGCCAACTCACGAGGTTATTATCACGAAGTTTCATAGCCCTTCATCTTTCTCTTTACAAGGAAAATTAAATAATAAAAAACCTTGTCTGGTTGCCAAGTTATGTTACGACTTCTAATTATTAAACGTTGACGGTCAGCTACTCTCCGCAGTGTTTACGTTCATGTCAAGATAGAAAAGCGAGTGCGTAATATGACAGGGTAAGGAACTTGAACTTCCTCTTGCCCCCCCCCCCCGCAGTATTTTTTTTTATCCCACGAACCCTACTGGATTCCGACCATGATGGTTAGAAGACTTCCCATAAAAATTTTTTGTTCCCCTCGCTTCTTCACGATTCTCCCACCATTTACCAATTTGCGTGCTCCTCTGTATTTGGAGCATGAGGAAATGCATTTCAGGAGAATCGTGCAATCTCTAGGAGACAGTTATACTCTCTACCGCCTTTAAACTTGCGTATATGACTGCTAAGTCTATTTCCGACTGGAGGGTAATTTCATTATGTTAGCTGCACGAAGTCCGTGTTCTGAGAGTTTAGCACGAGGTGACGCCATATCCCCTGAGGTGTGGCACAGACAAAAATCTCACGATATATGACGTCAAGAGGTAAATTCGGGCAATTCCTATTCCGTCAATATTGCCTCGGTGCACGTCATTTCGCAATTCGGACCAATCAGGGATTTATCGGCCGCTTGAGATTTACACGGCCGCACAAGCCGTGAAGAATGAGGGTCGTAAAAAACGGTTCTTTGTGAGAGCCTGAAGACAGAAAGAAAAAAAAAACCCTTGACCACTGCCTGCAATTGCTCAGGAGCATCTGCAGATGTCGGATGGATACGTTTGTACCATCGGTACTTGTCCGCTGAAGGCTCCCTTTCAACCGGGCAGCCTTCAGATGTTGCAAAACCCGGGGCTTTCGTGCTCACTCGGCCATGAATCCCCATTTCTCAGGGGTGACACCATTGGAAAAGATGTGATCCGTCTTGTCACTCGAGCCGACCTGGAAAGAAGAAGGGAAAAAGAAAAAAAAAACCGTCGCGGTGAGGATGGAGTCGTCAAGCTGTCGAAAGTGTTAACAGAGAAAGGCTCATCAATATGTAAACGAGGATAGCATCTACATGCCATCCGTTGATCGTGAATTATGGGACCAAATGGTCTTGAGCAACAACAGGGTCAACAAGTCTTCGACCTCTGATAGAGAGGAATCCGTCCACGATTGCAAAACCTTGTCTTGGGGGATCGACGTGTTCAGAAGCAGAAGCGATTTATGCTCATGACCCCACTGGGCGAGGGGTCATTACGGAGAGTCCTTGTTTTTGTTTTCTCTCCCCGATGAAGGATAAACACCCGGGTCTATACCCCCTGAGGACGTCGAATTTCCCTTTCTATGCGTGGGGCGCAGACTGGCCTATGGGTTTATGCATTCATGTCGGTGAACTCCAGCCAAGGCTTCCGCCTTTTTTTTTGCATACAGATTAAGGAGGATGGTTTTCCGCCCTTTTCTGATGGGTGGTGTACCTCTAATACCCGAATCATTATCGTGATTTATCCATCATCAATCACAGCTGCAGATGTAGGCCTGCAATTTCCCCACCCCATGTCTCCGAACCAAGGACAGTTTCTTTTTCTCTGAATTCAGGGCGGTGATTTTGCATGCAGATGCAGGATTTCACCCACAAAATGCTCGTGTCCATCATGTGTCCCACTGGCCATCTGTTTGTCTTAACGGGCTTTCACTCAGAGAAAAGGAACAGATGACCCGATGAATGTTGCAGCTGAGGAGAAAAATATTACGGCGGTTTGCCGGGATAAAATCCTCCATGTTACACAAGGCAAATAATGCCTTGTGTGATATCTGCTGGATAATCAAGATATGCTGTCACTTTCACCTTGACGGCTCCCTGTTTCTCTTTTTGGTATTTTTTTAAAATTCCCCTCCCGTGGTTTCTTCTTCTTTTTTTTTTTTGGAAGCGATTCGAGGCACGTAGAACGTAACGCGCCGATGACTTCTACGCCAGCATCGTTGGCATGCTTACGCATCTCTCTTTTTTATAGATATATATATATATTTTTTTTTTTTGTTCTATCGAAGCGCATTGGAATCCGGGTTCCTCAAAATCCGCAGAATCTTACCCTCCATGACGTCGTCCTTCGTGGCTTCACATCGAAAAAGGCAATCCCGCCATGAAATATGTTCTGGATATGAATAATTCAGGGCATATAATTTTCGTCTCGTCGAGGTCGCTCGTGTGACCTCTGCTTGCGGTCTTCTTTTTCTGCATCTCTATACATTGACAAAAGCCTCTAGACTCTCTGAACCTGCATTCCTGGGCCGTGTATCTTGAGCGGGAGATCCAGCTCCGACCACTTCTCCACTGTTGGCTGCCGGCCAAAGCCAGTTCCTTTGTAAAATTCCTGTTATAAACCAACGTAGGTACGGGATAGTGATAGGATTTCCACTTCCCAGGCTGTCAAATACGCCTATCCCATTACCCCTTCCCCCAAAGGGGTGTATAATGACCCCTTCTCCCGGTTTGCATAGCTTCTCCCAATTAAAGAGAGGCCTAGGAATGTCAGAAATGCATGACCCCGGATGCATGACATTTCTTCCGGACTCCCCCCCGATATCCCATGAGTCAGATCGCATTAGATGACACGGCGATTCCCGATCGGGCCCATGAGGACGCAATAGGCTGCTATATCTCCCCAC